CTCCGCAGACCCTCGCATCCCTTGACTCGCTTCCAAGCACCAGCACGTCAGCAGAGCCAATCAAGAAGGGATGAAGGACAAGTCGATGTTTGTGATATCCAGAAAATTGGACTGGAAATGGCACTGTATCCGTTGTTCTTCTATCAAAGGCCTCCACGCAATACCAAACACTTCTACAACCAGCGTAAACCATAAACACGTCGACGGCAGATCAGCATGAACAGGAGCTCGGTTTTCAATCAAAGTGGCTAACTACTGCCGTGAAGATTGAAATAACCTAGGAAGAACGTCGCCTTATCTAAATAAACTTGATGAAGACTCCAACTCCAGCCAGCCTCATTCAACAATTTGACTTTACGCAGACAGAAACAGACATGCAACTCACTAGAGTGCGCCACCTCCACCAGTCTGCGTCGCCATCTGCATCAGCAGAATGACTGTCATCGGTACAACGCCGTGCGAAGTAAAACAGCAATCCAATGACAGCAACAACAACCACTGCGTCGACTTTTGTTGCACTCTACCTCACCCCTTCAGACAATAACGTCTTCAAAACCGTGAAACAGACATCGTTGTTCTCTTCTGACCTTAAACGATCACCCCTTTGCTCGAAAATCCTCCCACCCTCCCCCCTCCCCACCCACTTGTCTTAACTGGCATATGTCAACAGTGCAAAATGACAAAAAAGACAGCACTGCTAGTCCCTTTAGCCACTAGCAGTTGACTCAACTCCAATAAAATTAAAACACTTCCCTGCCACTTCGCTCATGGAGGAGAGGAAGGAGGAGGAGGAGGAGGAGGAGGAGGAGAAGAGGCGGACAGACAGAAGTAGACAAAGGCAAAGGTTGCGAGTCAGTGATTGGCTGGAAGTAGAAAAGGAAAGGGCAGCTGGAGGGAGGAGGATTTTATGCACACAAAGTAATTGAGACAGGAGAAACGAGTAGACGCCTTGTTTGTTGGTTGGTTTGCTTGTTGTTTTGTGTATGTCGGAGTAAAATTAGGCTACTGTACACGGGGAATTGGTTGACAGATTGGATGAATGAAGGAGGGGATGGATGATGATGTGGGATGAGTGGACGGCAACTAGACGAGGACAAACTCCGAAGTGTAGATATTCTCCTCGTCTTCCGTGGCTTCTACAGGTCCTGTTGTCGTCGCCACTGTTGCTCCTGTCGAAGTTGATGGTTGCGGTTGATGTTGCTGCTGTTGTTGTTGTTGTTGCTGTACTCTGCAAACAGCAGTGACAGCACTTTGAAATTTTGTTTGATACAATTTCCAATGCACCTAATCAAGGCAGCTCACCTTCCATCGGAGGATTCGAAGGCAACAACGCTTCGAGGAGCTGAGCCGTAACCGGTAGAGGTGGCGCTGGCGTTGTTGTTGCTGATGCCACGGGCGATGCCTGAAAATGCATCAAATTC